TCCTTCCTGCTTTAAATCCCCGGTGAGCCTCGGGTCCGAATCGGCCAGCCCTGACTCACGAGTCCTTTTTTTTTTTTTTGTCCCCCTCAGTCGGTTTGTAGGACGAGCGTTTCTGAATGGTTCACTAAGTGAGGCAGGTCTGGTTGTCTTGTCTCCCATGACAGCAGAGAAAAGTGGAGGAGACTGATAAATATTTCAGGGCTGCTGACGCTGGCACTCGTCCCGATGCTGGGATCGAGGAGGGGGGGTGGTTACGCTGTCAGGAAGTGGGAATTTAAGGAGGGGGGTCGTGGTAAATACAGAGTCGCTCATGTTTACCATAAAACGGAAATGGACGTGTTGGTTTTTGCTCCTAAATTATTCATTTCTGCACTTTAGAAAATGTATTTATAGTTTTGCAGGTGAGGTCAGTGTTTTAGCCTCTAACCTCCACACGAATCCCACTCAGTCTGATTTTTTTTTTTTTTTTAGCGTGGCCCCTCGGGTACATTAAGATTTTATCGGCAGAAACAATATTGAAATATATGAAAATGCACCGGAAATTGAGTGCAACCTCCTGGGTATTAGAGCTTTAATTGTCGAGTGTTTATCAGCAGTGAGTACTGTTCCTGTACTGCGGAGCAAGATAATTGTTGCTCTGTTAGGAGCACAATGGGCTTTTCAATATGGTTTAATTAGCTGGATCAAATGGGTAAAAGATGCATTGATGTAACAGTATGCATGATAAATGAGCAGATCGCGCCCTTTGGTGCCTGGATCTCTAATACCGTTTTATCCGCTAATACAGACGATGAGTCATAGCAACAGCGAGGAGGAGGAGGAGGAGGTTGAGGAGGAGGATGGATGCAGGGAGGAGGGATGCTGGAAAGTAGAAGAAGGGAGACACGACAAGAGTTGGTGGGATTTGCTCTTAAAAAAAAAAAAATCCAATCGGAACAAAATGCGGTTTAGCATCTACGCATCATCTGTTATAGGAATATAACATGCAAGGCAAACTCCCCGTGACGTCAAAGCATCAAAGATAAAGTCCAGACGCTCACGAGGCAGCAGAGTGTTTCCCTACAAACTCCAGGCACCAGCCTCCCTCTCCAACGCATTGTTTAATCGTGACTATTAATTATTCTGCTCAACCTGCTCCATCCGGATTTGTCGACGCCGAGAGAAGTCCACTTTATTTTCTCTTTTATTTTGGCACAGCGATCTCATTTTTCCCCAATTTCATGCCTCTACCTTTTCTAACATTGGCTTTGTTTGACGGAGTTGGTTTATGTGAAATTGACTCAGAGTTTTTTCTTTTTTTTTTTTCACCCCGTGGCAGCGTCGCGCTCTAGATGTGGAGAATTGGCTCCCTGCCCTTGTAGCCGTCGCTGCAGCTCTTCAGATACTCCCGGCGAAAAAAATAGGAACTTCAAAGGGGCCAGACTTGAGATGCTGAGTAACGTAACACAACGCAGGGTTTAGCGTCGCTTGTGCAAACACGTCACCGAACCCGAGAATCGATTTTCTCTGGACAAAACCGATTCAGTCCGCAAGCATTCCTGCAGAATTTGATCAGTTCCCTCATAATGACATTCACTTGATAATGTTTGATTCTGTTTTGCACTAAGGTAGCTTCCAGGCGTTTTGTGCTGCTGTCGCATTTTTACTTGCTGTGGGCTCATTTTTCACTGCAGTGTAAAGTCCTGCACCTCCATGGAAACAGCACAACCATGACTAGAAGAAGAGAGAACTCAGAGATGTCTTTGGTGCAGCTTGACACAGTTATAATGCCAAAAAGCAGTTTTTTTTAAAGACTCAACATAAACAACTAAATTGGATTTTTTATTTTTATTTTTTTAATTGGGTTATTATTTTATTTATGTATTTATTTACTATTGGGGGAAAAAACTGCATTAGGCCTGTACAACATTTTTTCCAAGTACACACAGATGGTACGAATACTGGACAAAACACACCACATACCAGAGATATTTTACGACTTGCCTTTTTGATTTGTTTCCATACATGCCTCTTATCTGCTCTGTTTAAACACAGCCTGCATTTCAGGCAAAAATTCCTTGAATTTTCTTCATAACCCTGTTGGTCACAGCTGAGTAGTTCATAGCTTCACTGTTGCAACAAAGAGAACAGAATTTTTTGTTTCTTACAGAATCTAGTCAAAGCAAACACTTGATTTTTGGCTCATTTTTAAAATGAGAAGTGATTTTGATGAAATGTTAACCTTAGAATTGACTAGTTATCCTGACTGAGCAGTAGGGCACAGATGATTGATTCAAGGACAGTCAGAAAGTTATACATCTGATGAGATTTTCATTTAGTTTTTGGATTTGGGCTGTAGTAAATAGTGTGATTTTAGAAATTTAAGAGATGATAACATTGAGAGCAGTTTTTAAATGAAACATGTAGAATAAAATATCACCATTTTTAGCTTGGATTTGGTTAAAGATCACAATGGAACTGCAGGTGCAGTTCAAGGACTGTCAGAAAGCTGAAAATCTGGTGATTTTTTTTCTGTTGTTACAGTTTCTCGCTCTGATAAATGGTGTCATTTTGGTGATTTTTTTCAAAAGATAAAACACCTTTCAAACCCTCCGGTGGGTTTCGGAGGTTCAGGAGGTTAAAAGACTTTTACTGTGTGTTTACAGAGAGGATTTGTCAGTGTGTTTACATGCTGTCATAATGGATTAAAGCAATCAATCAATGCTCAGCCATCCTGCAGCTTTTTTTCTGAGCGATGCAGTGTGATGCTCGTGACCTATACTTGGACGTTTACTTAGCGCGCTGACAAAGCTACAGACCAACATCTCAAAGGGCAGAGAGGAGCAGCAGGAAGACCTCTGAATCAGGAGAAACACATTTGTTTGCTGCATCGACTCTTCGTCTGTCTTCTCGGGGCTGTTGTGATGTTGGCACCTCTCCCAGCTCTGGTCTGGAGAGCGAGTGCTAATGGTTCGCAGCCACAGCCGAGCTGTAAGCGAACACATTTGGACCCACTTACGAGCATCAAACATATGAATTCCTGCCTTATTTCTCGGGACAACTGATAAAGGGAAATCATACACTTCTGACAAATGAGCAAATTGGACAATAGCAGTTTGTTTTGGCTTCGACGATCTCTTTGTTGGGAGTTCAAGGTCTGAGCTTCATTACAGGCCCCCAGAATGGATGTGAACGCATAAATAAAGATGATGTGAGCGCAGAAACTTTGCATTAATCAGGTGTGAGTGTGTGTCATGCTCATGGTGACGCTTAGCTTTTGCAGTGTTGCAGCTGTGCATCAGTTTACATTTGTACATGTACTGTATATGTTTGATTTTGATTGTTTCCACATTGAATTTAATCCTCTTACATTCGACACATTTGAGGAAGTGGAGTTGCCGTAAAGTAAAGCTTTTACATTTTGATGTGAATGTCTCCTAGTTTGGTTAAATGGAATCGCTGTAATAAGAAACAGATTCTGATCTGCCTCTTTGGGACCACACTGGAACAAAGATGAGAACTGTTGACAGCGAGGTTTCTGGTTATTGTCTGTGGAAAGACACGCTGCTGTTAAGTTTAGTTCGATTTAACTTTTCAGGACTTTCAGCGCCACAGGAGTGCCAGTGAAAACTCTAAAGACAGATATCTTGAAACTTGATGTCTTTCAACACCTATAATCAGTTCATATATTGTGACTTTAAACTAAACAAGTAGCAATAATAACTGTATTATCTGGGCAGCTGGGGCACTGAAGAATAATGTAAAATAACAGAAAATAACCATGAACTAAAAATACCATTTTCTTGCCTTAATTTTACTTAATTTTGAATTTTTCTTTTGGCTTTTAATTGGTGAAACAATGCAATTACCTAAAATAATGTATTATATGTAATCAAATAGATAGGAGCTATAACAATAAATTACATATAATGATTATACTGTATTTGTACTGATGCTTCTAGATATTATACACTGATAAAAACACACTCAGTCAACATTTTTGTTGTGAAAACATTTCAGTGTAAAATTACAGAAACAATACTTTTTCTGTTGTCACTGATTTATCTAATTTTAGAAATATATTTACACTTTTAAACTTGAATTAAACAGTTTCACCTTCGCTTTTTTTAAGGAAATGATTGTGAAATGACAGAAAATAATAATACAAAATTATTAAATTTAAAAAAAAAAAAGTTTATTCACAGTTACAGGCCATTTGACATTAAACTATAATTTTATTGACATTTTGGTTTATTTCAGAAATATTGAAACGTGTAAAAATATAAATGCTACATTATGTAAAATGATAGATTTCCTTTTAACTGTGCAGGATTCATGAAACAACTTAAAATGTTTTTTGTTTTCACAGCAAATCAGCCACAACAATAACAATGACTCATGGTGCAGTGAAGCTACAAATAATAATAAATCATGAAACCTCCTCATCTGGTATTGATTAAACACCTGAAAGCTCATCTCTGATCAACAAATCACACATTTAGAAGTTTTTTTCCCTGAAAATAATAATAGAATAATAGATGTAACTCTACATCTTTTCCTACTTTAGCATGCACAGATCTATTAATATGCAAATTAGTTTGACAGGTTTGGTTCTTTAGGTTTGTCTCAATCTGTGCTTTTCACACTGTCATCAGTAGTCTGCAGCTTCGTGGTGGGAACACTCAGCCACGCTGCTTGTTCCACTCATGATGTGTGTACTAACATATAAAAACACCATATGGACACGTTAAACTTGATTTTCATTGGAGGGGGTCTTGAATGGAGCATATTTACAATATTTAATCAAGCTGGCGGTTGTAAATGTTAATAAACACCTTTTGTTGAGGGAGTTTTCACAAGCAGGCAGCTGTTCTTATTACAGCATTACTTAATTTATGTATTAGCAGAGTCGTTTGTTTGAACCTCTGCAGCCTGTATAAAGGCTACTTTATTACTTCTTCCTTGATTTGCTCAGTTTTACTGCTTTTTAATTGCACGAACAATCAAAAGTGTTTACTCACTGTCCAAACACTGGGCGCACACGGTCTGAGTAGCACCGCATTTCTTCACCACTCCCTCCCCAGGTGGACACTCCTTGCAGCATTCTCCGCTGGTGGTGTACTGACCCGAGTCACAGGGCAGCAGCACGGCCCGCTCCGTCTTCGAGGCCAACGCTACCGCCACCTGTAAACGGCAGGAGCACGTCAGAGCAAGCACATGTGTACGTACACTCCCTGCAGACGGAGCAAAAACTTTCACACATATACAAACGCACAGCGCAGGGCCTTAAACATACACAGCAAAACAAATTGATGAAAATCACTGCCAGGTGTCCGACCTGTTCCTCAAATCCAACCGCTATCAGGATTGATCATAAATCATGCTGTCTCCGCCTACATTAGACACACTTTGAACAGGGCAGTCGTCTAAACCGCCTTAATAGCCCCCCTAAAGGCACATCAGCTCTAATAGTGAACCTGTGACACGCTGCAGCCCAGGCAGTTACCGTAAAATCATGTGTGCATGACATTATACACATGCCCATCCTGATTACTGTCTAAAGGTGAGAGCTGCTGTGAACGGCAGCCTCTGCTGGTGCACGCACACAGTCAGGCTTCTACACGCTGGAGAGGACTGTTCATGGAAGCATTCACCGTCACATTACTCCCACATTAATCCTTAACATGTATGTTTGAATCTGATAGGCTGAATCTACACTGTAAAAAAAAATAAAATAAAACAATGATAATAAAATTAATAAGAATTTGATAGAATTTTGATATGTATATATATTTTATGGTCAATATCATTGTTTTCACTCATGTAAATATATTTATTTTTTTACAATGTAAAAACAAAAAATAATATTCAATACTCAAGTAAAGTGAAAGCCAGAAAATTTTTATTATTTTAATTATAGTAAATTACTGTATTTTAATGATATTGTTATTTAGATTTTTTGCTTTTTGTTTTGAAAATGAAATGAAATGAAAAATGAAAAATACTTTATTTATCCCAGAAGGGAAATTCAATTTTTGCAGTACTCCCTATCACCTAATGCCCAACCCTTGACATGCATGTTTAAATCCGATCCCATCTACTAGCGCTAAACTGTAATAAAGAAAACAAAAAGTTTACAAAATTTGTGCTTTTTCTCTACATTTGTGAAATACACAAAAATGTCAAAAACAATAATTCTAAAAATCAATAGTGAATTTACAAACATTTAACTAGAAATATCCATGAAATTTTCCTCTTTTTTAAAAAATATTGACCATTTTTATTTTACATAAAACAAAATTGTACTTTCATGAATATTTCTGTTTAATCTATTAGATGAATTATTTCATTACCATAAATAACTTTAATCCAGTATTCTAAAACAAAAAAAGTGTAGTTTTACACAAAATATATTTTCTTTGTTTGTTTTTTTTCCAGATATTTTTTGATATACAATTGTATTATTTTTATTTCCATTTGTAAACATCCTTCATTATACAATAAAAAGCCAAAATATACCTATGATCCCATGGTATTAAAGCAAGATTTTAAAAAATGGTTATTTTCCATTACTTTACAGTATTTTTCGACAACCTAGCTGCTGGATTTATTAGCCTTTTTTGTACAGTCTTACTCTAATCCTAAATTCTGTCTTTAGCATAAATAGGCAAGAACTTGCCAAAATGGCTTTCAGGTTTAAAACTCAAACTATTCCTCACAAACGTAGACGCACAAGTTTTCAGGTCTGAAGTTGCAGGACATTGCACTGACCTGAATGACCAGCCGAAACAAAGTTTACCTTGTGTGGATTTTTTTAACCCAAATGGGAGGTGACAAACTCGCATAATATGGAAGTTTGAACAAACATTTGTCCCAGGAGATTAAACCTTAATTTATACTTTTGCATTGAATCTGCCTACGCAAGTGACCTCCGCCATTGTGGACATTTATATGTGCTGGTGTGTCTGCATCGCTCTGCAATTACTTCACCAAAAACGCTAGTTAGCAACGGTGTTTTCATGCCACTGTATTGAAAATCATTGTGAATTTCAAACAATGGTGGCAGAAACCATGGAGTATAAATAAAAGATGGACGTAGTGACCGGGACGACGCCCACTGGTTTGCGGACTACTGTTTCGTAACCTGGAGTTGGCATTTGGCCGTTGCACGTTGGCCTTACAAAACTGGACATGATGCAAAAACAGTGGATCCGACTGGAGAACCTGATACTATGCATGGTAATAGCGACATTTTATTTACAAACATACCCCGCGTTATCAGCTGTTTTACTCTAAATGGGACCATAGTTTACAAAATAAAAATCATGCTGTGCTGAATGAGACTTGAAACTCTTGACTGAGACCATAAACTGATGAAGAAAATGTTTACTGACGTAGCAAATCAAGTGAAAATTCTCATAGACTTCTGTAGAATTGAACTGTGTTGTGCAACACGAGGAGGCGCCCCCTGCTGGCCAATAGAAAGAATACAGGTTTTAGACCCTTTGGTATTGGCTTTACTTTTCAAAGCAGGAAGTTGCATCCATCTTTTTTACAGTCTATGCCTGGAATAGGGTAGATCACATTGGCATTGGAGCTAATAAATTTTGAACATTTACTTTTACCAAAATTATTGCAACACGAAAAGAAGAGAAAGAGCCGACTAAATTTTACCAGGGATTGGTAGAACGAACAGCATATGGCGACTATGGCAGAATACTGGAGCTTGCGTTTCCATTGTGAGCAAGTCAGATACATTTACAACGTATTTCATCCAACATTTTGCACAAATCAAACACAGAATATTAGGACCAAGTGGACCAATCACAGCTGATTTGGTCAAGTGATACGTAGATTCACCACTGAGAGAAAACATTCACTCTGACTGGATCCACAACTCAGGTTATGCTTTTTTTTTTTTCAATGCTTTGAGTTTTTTTATATGCTTGTCCAAATACGTTATTGTGACATTCAAGCTTGTGGCTTGTTTGGACCATTATGAGAATGTTGGGCATTTCTCCAGTTATTACTGGCATTGTTATTTGTAAACTGATTTCCGATAAAATAATTTAGAAATGTGCAACTTTGGCTCTGTGGTCTCGAGCAAAGTCCCACTAAAATCTGACTGGTTGCATGCCTGGTTAGACTTAAGGCTAAGTGTTTTCAAGTTCTCTTTTACCTTAGAATATTGAAAATATAAATAAAAAATGCATTTCAGTGAAGTTATTTTAAATTTGGACACCAGGATTTTCACTTTTCCTGCCACGTATATCAGTTCCAAATGTTGCTCATTGATCTCCTTGATCACAAATAATCAGTCTTAGCCATAAATAAGAAAGCCCTAACACATAAATAGGCATTTTTGTGTGTTTCTGTCATGCTCACATGCACCTATCTCCATATATGATTCGGTTTAAAGTTCTTGCACGCACAGTTTACCGTCCTCCCTCTCATCCCGTCTAACATTTCTAATCTACTCCAGTTATCACCTCCTCTCTGCCTCCTGCTCTTGTTGCTTTCTCTCTGATAAATGACACGCAGCTTCACTGGCACAAGAACTGAGGCTCGTTCTGCTGGTGTGTATACAACGGGGTTCAGTGAAAAAGAATTCACATCCAGACGTTTGCGAACAAAGAAAATCATTACACTGAAGCACTTTCATGTCCTGTGGTTTTTATTGTGTAACGAGCAACAAAAAAAAAAAGCTCCTTTCCACTTAATTCACATTTGCTGAGACATCATTTCGGTCTTTTCTGTCTCTTTCTCATTCGTCCCTCGTTGCCCCTCCTCTCTCCGCTGTCCCTGCTTTCATTCAGAAACAGATGTACTGAGCAGCCACCAGCTTTCTCTCTCATTGCTCAACATTTCCCTCTTTCTGTCATCCCACTGTTTGCTCTCTCAGACTCTGCAACCTGTTATCTCAACATTTTGTCTTTCTTTCTTTTGCACAAACCTCAGTTTTTATTCATTCACATAAGGAAATCTGAGTTGGAGTCACATTTATGTCTGCAAAAATGAACTTTGGATGCAGCCCAGGAAGCTGCCGAGGAGGGATTCATGTCCCTGACTCCTCTGCCAACTCCCTTTTTCCTTTGACATCTCCCTGGAATTTCACTCAGCTGAAACACAGATTGATGACAAATTCCCTGAGAAATAAGCTCACCGCCAGCAACCAGCACAGAAACAGATCCACACGAGAAAAAAAAAAAAAGAAAAGAAACTGTACAGTGACGCAGCTGTGATATGCTTGGTTTATATTCTGCCCAATTTCATGGTCAATTTGAGAGTTTATTTCTGAATTTAATTCTACCAAAGTGCACCCAACCATCGCACACCCTTTAAACCAGCTGTCACAACAGAGCGTCCCCTCGCATCCAGGGCTGCTCACATGACGACTGAAGCCGGCAGCCCCCAATTAGACCAGCTGCTGTGGACATACCAGAGCGCTGGAAAAGGATGTGCCCTCTGCTCTGCGCTTTATTACCACCAGCTTCCATAATCAACTTTCTCATATTATCAGAGGAGCCTCATGTTTTATGCAACAACAACAACAACAACAACAAAAGATAATTTAAGCTCTTCTTGTTGGATACAGATTTAATGAATCAATTTATTTCCCATATGGCAGCATCTCTGTCTTAGTTACAAGCCAAAATATGCACAAATTATGCTCAGAAAGTAGAAATAAATGAGCTCTTGGAGGCACCTGCTCCTGGATGCAGAACAATGTGAAGCACAGCAGCAGCAGTATCCAACTTTTCCAATGGGGAGGTGTAGGGGAATCTGTGTGTGAGTGCAGAGCTATATATATATATATAATATAACCAGGCTGCAAAAATCACAAGCAACATGCACCTGCATTATTAGCCTCTTAGTATTTGTAAGGGGGAACACCACAGCAGCACTGCCTTGAAAATACTGCACAAAAAAATCACAAAAACTCTGCACAAAAGTCCCCTCAGGGTTATTTTAAGTCCATTATAGCAACATCATACAGTGAGATTTGTAATTTAAGACTAAAATTCAGCTCCAGTGGAAGAAATATCAAATAAAGATGCAGTGAAAAGTGCATAAAACCACTAAAAACTCACACAGGGAATTTGATAACGTGAAAAAAAAATGGACTGCACAGTGCAAGATTACTCACCAAAGCGCACAAAATCACCAGCGACAAGGTAGTAGTCATCCTGCTTCGTCTGCTGGAGTCACATAAAAACAGCTCTTGTGCAGGGAAAGGCAGCGCTATGTGGAGGAGGAGGAGAGCCGCGCAGCAGGAGAGCTCATTTTAATTCCAGCGGCACGGATTTTATCAATGAGTCCGCACCATCGCGCGTCTGTCCGGGACCTTCTGGAGTCAGCTGCCGGTGCGCACCCTCCGCCTTCCAACACTGTTATCACACAGCAGCTCACAGAGAGGAAGAAGAAGGAGAAGAGGAGGAGGAGGAGGAGGAGGAGAAGGAGGAGGAGGAGGAAACCGTCCTGTCCGGAGAGCTGCTCAGCTGCAAGTGCACTGCGGAGGAGGCGAGAGGAGAGAGGAGAGGGGGCACGTCCACCCTCCGGTTTATTACCCCTGATACTCCTGCAGTGCAACCTGCCCCCCTCTCGCTCTCTCTCTCTTCGGCTTTAATCTCACGTGAGGGCTGATTCATTGCAAAAGTCTGACACATTCAGCAATAACACACCCCCTTTCTTTTTTATATATATTATTTGTTTGTCGCCAAAAGTATGTGGACAATCTACGTCCGTATAACCAACGGAGCTGTCCACATATTTTTGAGCACAAAAAAGATGTACTTTGCATTTGAGGCAGTTATTATGGGTTTCGGTGAAACACCTTCCATCATATTAAAGGACAGGGTAATTTTACATCCGAGAGTGATATTTTTAGACATTAGTGTGATGTCAGTTGGTTGGTGTGAAGGAACTCGGGTGGGCTTCCCCCATCCAGCATCTCTGAGATGATGTGGAAGGCACTACAAGTGACAGAATTAAAGAGTTAAATACAGACAAAAAAAAAAGTCTTGAATCAGATTTGGCTCTGTGAAACTCAAATTAAAAAAGTCTTGATGTAAAAGAAGTGAGACTTGCAGCAGCTCTGCAGTTTGTTCCAGATAAGAGACGCATGTAAACTGAAAGCTGCCTGTCCATGTTTGACTTTCGGGACAGAAAGAATACCTCAGAGGTCTCTATGGTTCATAACCCCATAGTACGTGACCACAGGAGTGTTTTAAATGCTTCCCATCGCTGGACACATGATGGACATATGACTAGACGGAGCCTGGATAGATGGCTGACAGGTGCTCCTCACCAGGAAACTAATACGGGCTGCACCCTCCTACAGCTGCAAAAACACTGGATGCACCTGATCGTACGACGATTCACTCAAACGTTGTCTGGTTCTGGATTTCAAACTGGACCAACATGGCGGCTGGTTTGGAAACGTTGTTTGTATTACAAGAAAAGTTGTACAAAATGTGTTTCTAAAAACATCTGAGACGAGAAAAAAGCCCTGCAGCTGCTGAATCTGTCTTTATTTTAGGTCGACGGCGGTCAGTTTAGAAGTTTTCAGTAGTTTTGTTCCTCTGTTCTGCATGAAGCAGCCGAACTTCTTGCAAATGAGGCATTAACACACCCCATCTCTCAAAACTACCAGAATGCATTGCAGGCTGAATGAATGGGAAGCGTAGAAATGACGGCTCCTGTGGACACGTACCATCAGACAACAACGGCACCGCTGTGCTCTGAAATCCACTGCTTTCAACGGTTTGTGCTATGCAATGAACATTTGGTTCAGTGTTGAGCAATGCACAGGGGTCAGAGTTCAAATTAGTTGAACTTTTGCCGCTACAGGCTGCGGTGAATACCACATGGCCAATAGAAACCAAGCATCCACCTGGACATGAAAGACACAACAGGAAAAGCTGAAGCGTGTCTGAATTCCCCAATTTATATGACACAAGTCTGAGCTTGTATCGAGACCTCAGGAGGAAAACTCGATCTGAGAAACAGGTTTCCATCCAAGTAGGCTTGTCAGGTGTGCTTTACCCCCTTATTATACAGCTAATGGTTTTAACAGTCGGGTAGCTTCTGGTAACTCAGCAATATGTGCTTTTTACCTCGAAAGCTCGACAGACCTGTCGAAGTTTCTTTTTTTAATTTTCTTAGTCAAAAACTTTGCCGTTTTTGCTTGACCGCCTTTATTCTTAACTGTATGAATCACAGACAGATGATGTGTCCTGAATGTGTAGAAAGTTTTAAACATGAGCAGAAATCTTGCTGAACACATCACAGTTATTAAGGTTCAGGGGTTTATCAATCCGTTAAAAGATGCGAAAGGGGGCCACATGCACATTTAAAGAGTTCACTTTCTGAAACAAAAGACACAAAAGAGGACAGAGGAGTAAATCATACCTGTATGTGTGTTAAATCAGCAGAGATCATATTAAAATTTACAGGAGAATAAAAATCAATACAGAATAACTGACAGCCTTACTGCATTATATTCTAAAATTGTGTGTTTTGCACCTTTAACTGATGCAGAAAAGACACACATTGATGCACAACATTTCACTAGAATGCAGCAAATGAAGTGTTTCCTGGGGGAAAACGCCCAGACCTCCCACCTAATACGTCCCCCACAAGGTTCAAACTGAGTCTTGAAACTGCAGCCCTGTCTGGGTGTCCACATACTTCTGACTTATTTTATTCTAATGGCTGCATAACGCTGTATTGTACTTTGTGGCTTTGTTGTGCTGCATTGCATTCGGCTAAAGTGTGTTTCTAATGTTTCTACATGTAAATGAAGGCCTGCAATATTTGAAACACCTTTCTATTTAATGCAAGCCACAACAAGACCACCACAAAGTCTCACAGCCTCAAAAGTGGTGCAGGTGTTTCAGATTTTCTGGTCATTAATTGTATTTCGCTTCCTGCTGATTTTTTTTAATGACGCATATGTTATGAATCTTCTGTGACAATACATCATGCGGTTCCAAACATGCTTCTTTCTATCAGGTGGCCAAAAAGACACTTCAGGGTACGTTACCTCCATGCACCACAAGAGGGCGACTCAGCAGAGCTCAGCTCAGCAGCAGCAGCTCACACTCAGTTTACTGTGAGAGCTTAACAATGACAGATGAGGTTGTTCTTCCCCAAACAGAGTCCACTTTGCCAGGGGAAAAGGCTTCATTTTCACTGGATTCAGGTGTTACTGTATGATGCTGCTGCACAATTTAATGCCGTGTGTATTTGAAATGAAGTGAAATGACTTGAAACATGGTGATTTAGATTGAGACAGTGTTTCTGCTGCTCGAAAGGGAGTTTATAAAAACACTGCTGACTTTTTGAAGGCAAACATTTTAAACACATGCACTGCTGCATTTTATTATGTTGGCTGAGGTGTCATTATTTATTACATACAATTTGTCATTTAATTGTAATTAAAAGTTAAACATAAAGGTATTTCTGTTTGTTTTCAAAATCAACATGTAAAAAAGATTTTTTGTTGTTGTTGTTGTCATTTCCAAATAGACCATGTAATTTAGTTTTTCAGGATTTTTTTGTCTTTTAATTCTGATACCAGAAATATTTGGGTTTTTTTGTTGTTGTTGCTGTTTGGTTTTGAAACCAGGAACAGAAATACATTATATATATGTGTGTGTGTGTGTGTAATTCATACAGAATGTCCGATAATATTCATACAAGTGGATCATGTTTGATCAGCTTTTTGGGTTTTTTTTCTATTTTTTTTGCATTTTTGGTTTTGAAACAAACATATTTGCCTTTTGTTATATTCTTCTTTTAAAAATTTAATCACAGATTGTCAGATGAAACCCAGATCTTGGTTTTGTTCATGACATGTTGTATCATACATTATGTAGCACTTGCATCAGAGATGTAGTTTGCTGCACTTGTTTGGAAGCCTGCCGAGTACGTTGAGGTTACTTGAAGTTTGGATCGCATTAATCCAATCAGCACCGTCTGGTCTGCTGCTTCACTTTTTTTTTTTTTTCTTTGTCAAGATGATACTAAATTTGGCAAGACCACTCCAAAACCACTAATGCACGTCTATGCGGTGTAATTGTGTTTGGTGCTCGTTGAGGTACTCGCCCTTTACACTTAGGGAAAACCAGTGTTGATGAGTATTGATCCAAGACATTGCAAGACAATAAAGCAGCTGTAGTCTAAGAATGGACTGCCTTACCTGCCTCAAACATTTCACAATTCCCACAATCCTCCTCACTGCCAAATCCAGCTTCTCCACACCAGTCATCAGCTGGGAGGATGCAGAGGGCGACATCCCTGCAGCAGCAGCAGGACGATTCAGTTACAGTGTTGGGATCTGAATGCTCTCCAGTATTGATCTTGGGACACATCAATTTTCCCACTTCCTACATCCTCCTTTGAGATCACCCCTGCAGCACCTACGGCTAACCCCCATTCTGATGACTTTGACGGCACTCTTCTGCATCAATACAGCCTTCTTTGATTCTGTTGGGGCCTCATTGGATCCAGTATTTACGACCTATAATCACTGTAGTGTGAGTAAAGCCACTGCATCACCTCAGGAACAAAGTCACGCTGAGCTCCAAGTCAGACAGAAGCTAATATCTCAACCATGTTGTTGCTGCTGTCCGATTCCAACAACGGTGTAACAGAGATGTTCGACAAGACTCAGACTGAATGTATCCATGCAGCAGCCAGAAATAGAAAAACGCCCTCTGAATGTGAGCTCTATTAGAAGTGTTATGGATATATGATTATGTGCTGACAGCGCCTTCAGTGGGATACATGTATTTTTCTCTGTACGTATCATGTTTCAGCCATATGATTGGTCAGCAAACGGAAATGTCATGTCAGTCAGCAAGGTCACCAACAAAATACAATCTTGATGAAGACGACCTGCCGTCCAGCGGAAGGTGAGGTCGAGAAAACACACGACATATTCGCTGGAATGTAGTTTTTGATTTGATTTTTGCTTTAACACTTCGTTATTTTGTCTAAAACTAATATGAAGTCACAAAATTATTAATCTGTTCAACAAACGCCAATGATACAACCTCTCAACAACACTAACGGCAGATTCCATCCATCCGACCACCCAACAGCCAATTAAGGAATAAGGATAAAGGATTTCAGGTTAGTGAGGTAACTTCAGGAGTTTTGGTGGGACCCTTGTTATTATGCTGCACAACTAACCTGCTCCAGCAATGTTCGAGATAACAGATCAACATGTATAAAAACACTACCTACTGACCGATCAGTTCTCTTCCAGTGGATCCTGAAGAGCTCAGTGCACAGATAGTGAAAGGGTCTGTGAGGAAGGCAGGAGTTTTTATCGTCTAAACGCTTGTCTTTCCCAGGCGAGCATGGATATGAAAGATATACATTCTCAGCGGCGGTAACTCCAGTCT